TCCCAAAATCTCTAGTGCGACATTTCCAGTCCTTACTTTTCATTTAGTCTGACGACGAACAACTGATACCTGTTCGACAATTCATGAGAACAACTCGATTTTCCGAAGATCTTCTTTCTTTTCATCATATCATCTCGGAATGCAACTTACTTCATTTAAATTAGTGCCTAGATTAGTCTCCCGAGTTTCATGTTCAGTAGTCACATCTGCTGAACTTTTTGAATATTTTTCCAAGACAGCAGCTTACCCAAGCGCTTCCATTAAAGCTCTTATATTCTTATGCTTGTTTAATATTTGTTAAGTAATCTGTCCTTGCTGGCATGTTTCCGAGACAAAATAGATCAAAGCATTTAAAACTGATCAGGTTCCTATATGAAATAAGAGCGTATTTTGACTCTTGAAGTTTGCAAAAATCATATTTGAAGCAAGCCAAAATAGCAAAATTTATATGCGCAGATAAATTTCGAGAGCGCTTCTCAGCTGCTTCCGCTCTGTGCATGAATAACGAAATATTTAGAGAACACGTCAATTTGATTTTACACAAAATCGATAATAGCAAGGTTGTGTTAACGTGGCAAATGGTCAATAGTTATGTCAACTTTAAACTTGGGATGAAAAGTAGGCAGGGGAAAAATGCTTTAAAAATCATATTGATTAAAACACTCTTATGTTTAGCAATTCAGTCTGTCATGCACAGGTTAGCTGATGCCGCTGAGAAAAAAAGGCGTTGCATAAGGATAACATTTTTTGGATTTCCCAGCTTATCACAAATAAGCTTTTACCCAATCAGAAACTCGCTCCCCAACAAACAATACGCGCTGCTTACCGTATCTACAAATCATTACATTTTTGGTCTAAACAAGTGCTTTCTAGCTACCACAGCATTTTTTGGCGCATATGTATTACTTATGAAAAGTGCAAAAGAATATGTGTGTTGAATAAAAGTAGTGTCGTCGATCAATAAACCTGAGGAACAATTTACAGGCTGTTGCAGAACGAGACAAACGTCGTCAACTCGTTACAGAAATGAAGGAGCGA